GAGCAGGGTTTTCTCTGTATAACTCAGATGGAACTAGTTTGAGGAGATCACACTGAGGTTGGGATTTATGTCTCCCCCCCCCCCCAGGGTTGGAAAATCATGGCCAGAGAACCGAATTTGACTGGCCATACATCCTCATTTTGGTCTTGTCTATGGTTGCTTTCCTGCCAAAATGACAGAAAGCAAAAGGCTTGCCAGTTTATTCTCTGGCTCTGGCCGGAATGGGCTGGCTGATCTGAACACTTGCTATTTTAATCCTATATTGCCTCGGGACTAGTGTTTCCCTGCGTCTCAAGTTTTCTAGCCAACTAAGAGAATTAAGCAGAATTCAGTTGCAAACCAATGTCAGAACACCAGAGCTGGTAAATCAGGTATGGTGGTTTTATGCCTGTAGTGGGGGCGGGGTGGGGTGGGGGTTAGAAGTTCAAAGTCACTCTGTTTTGTTTACGGAACCCCAGGTCAGTCTGGGATATGTGTGACCCTGTCTCACAATAAAATGGAGACTAGAAATACAGCTCAGCAGCTAAGAGCGCTTGCTGCTTTTCTGGGGGACCTGAGTTCAGTTCCTAGCTCCCATGCTGGGCGGTTCACAACCCCCTGGGAGCTGAGCCTGTGTTTTGGCCTCTGCCGGCACCATACACAAGTGGATAAGCGCACAGAGACACATAAAGAAAAATAACATCAGGAGAGTAAATATCAACTGAATGACCACTCAAAGTTCCTTTTTTTTTTTTTTTTTTAAATTAAGGTTTCTTAAAAAATAATTTTCTTTGGAGAGAGTTGGCAGACAACAACACAACTTGGTGCCTAATTTTTGGGCTTGGTGTCGTGTGCCTTGCTTATGATTCTTGCAGGGAGTTCCAGGGTATAACAGCCTCTGTTTTCTAAGAAGCACTGACTTCTACATCTTTGTGTGACTTCCTGCCCAACCTTAGAGGCTCACTCCTGTAGCCTGCCTAAGAGCTGGCTGGGAGTCATTCCTGGAATGGCATGGGCTGTAACTGCCGGCCAGCAAACTGTCCTCCTTTATCCCTTCCTACTTTCCCAGCAGCCCTCATTCCAGGCTGCTGACCTTGGATTTCCCAAAGTGTATAAACAAAACCAAATGGGAAAGTACATTCCTAAAGGGAATTCTTGGCAGAAGTAGAAGAGAGCTCCAGCACATGAGAGTGATTATGTGTGCCTTGTCCCTCTCCCCCTGACATTTTGGGACTTCCTATTTTCTTTCCTTCCTTCCTTCTTCCTCCCTCTCCTCCCCCGGTTTTTTGGTTTGGGTTTTTGAAGAAAGGCTTTCTCTGTATGTAGTCAATGACTGTCCTCTGACTCCTTCTGGAGACCAGTCTGGCCTTAAATTCACTGAGAGCCTCCAGCTTCTGCCTCCCTAACGCTTAGAATGAAGGCGAGCTGTTTTTGAGCCATGGTCTCACACAGCCCGGTCTGGCCTCAAACCCACTATGTAGCTGAGGATAACCTTCCACTTCTGATCCTCCTGTTTCTACCTCCTGAGTGCTGGGATTATCCATTTTATCTTTCTGTTTTGTGTTTATGTGCACATGCTCATGTGTGTGCCGCATTGTGGGGGTTGGAGGGCAGCTTTCAGAGTTGCTTCTCTCCATGTAGCTGCCAGTGTTTGAACACAGGTTGGTGGCAAGTGCCTTTACCTGATGAGCCACCTCACTGGTCCCCATTTTACTTTTATTAGTACCTCAATATTCAGTTAATACAGTACTAGGGGTGGAACCCAGGCTTAGTGCTTGTTAGGTATGTTGCCAACTAAACTACAACGTCAAATCTTTTTAGGTCTCACTGTGTATCCCAATCTGGCCTCAAATTCTTCTGGCCTCAGTCTCCCAATCTCACCAAAGGACTGCAAGAGCGTGTCACCTTAATCGCATTTTCACCAGCTTGTCAGAATACTTGTCTTCTCCATGCCCTTTACCTACAGTTTTCTCACATGGATTCCTGGGGTGAAGAGACCCTCTGGCCAAGTGGGTAAATTATAATAAAATTATTTGTTACCTAAACCAAATTTGGTTGCAATGAAAACACTCTGGCAGGGGGGGTGGTGGCACACACCTTTAATACCAGCACTAGGAAGGCAGAGGTAGGTGGATCTTGAGTTCAAGGCCAGCCTAATCCAAAAGTAAGTTTCAGGACAGCCAGGCTACAGAGAAACCCTAATGTCTCAAAAAAAATAAAATAAAATAAAATAAAACACACACACACACACACACACACACACACACACACCACCACCACCACCACCAACAACAACAACAACAAGCTAAAGTCTGGGCTGGAGAGATGACTCAATAGTTAAGAGCACTTGTCGTTCTTCCAGAGTATCTCAATTCTGATCCAAGTGCTCACGTTGGACAGTCTAAAGCCACCTGTAACTCCAGCTCCAGGGGATCTGACGGCCCCTTCTGGCCTCCAAGGGAACCTACACATACCCACAAAAGCCTGACTCACATCTCTGCCCTCATTTTGTCTCCTTTTCTTTGGGTCAAGGTCCTGGTTGATTCCACACAGGTTAATCACTTGAGTATCTGCCTAAACCTATCCCAGTTGCCTTCACCGTAGAAGGCAAAAAGATGACTGAGGCAGCCTATTGTCCACTCTTGACAGTGTCCTGTGTCAGGTGTTCAATCATTGCTCCAAATCCGAAAGTCATCTTGGATTCTAGGAACACCAGAGGCTCTCAGCATAGGCACCCACCCACAACCCCACAGGGGCAATTGTCCATGATAGTGAGGCCATGTCTGGAGCAGGAATAACCCTATCAGCTCATCTCACACTGAAAGGCTTCCTTTGGACCACCTTACACAACCAAAACCAGGACTATCCACATCTTGACCGGGGCTGTCTCTTCTCCTCTGCCCCAACTCATCACCTACTTAAGCCTAAAGCTTGTGTCAGTTGTCAGATGAACTTGGAGGAAATTGAACTCCTTGACCATTTCCTCTTAATCAAATCTCCGATTTTAAGTGTTTTGTTGAGCCTGTTGGAGCTGCTGAAAGGTCCAGGGCTTTTTCTGAATGAGTCTCCCCCAACAGAGGCCATGAGGTCACTGTGGGACTGAGGTGTGTTGCATCAAGCATGTCATCTGAGAAGATCCTGCTGGAAGAGCCTGTTTCCATCTGTGTCCTGATGCAGGGGTAATGACGCCGTCATGGTGAGGTCATTTAGAATTGCAGGTATAACCTCTTTTTCTCTGTCCAGTTGAAAGAAATGACAAATCAGGAAGGGCAATGAATGGCTCAGCAGTCAGCCAAGTTTTATTGAAGACACACACACACACAGAGGGAGAGAGAGAGAGCGCGCAAAATAAGGGTAGAATAAGGTAGATCTCCATCCCCTTATTTCTGATTGGTCAATTTAAACAAATTGGAGGCAGCTGATAGAACCATAGCTTCGTGAAAGCGTGGGCATGTCTGGGTAGGTCAGAGCAAGAAGAGGGGCCCTGCTTGGGGGTGGGGTTCAGGACTGCTGGCTTCTGCTCTTGGTGAAGCAGCAGCTGTCAGTTTGCCATGCTGTAGTCTACCTATAGGGCTTCTTTGCCAAGGTGTCAGGAGGGCAAGCTGTCAAGTTAAGACCTCAATGGCTCCTAACTTGAGTTTTGTTTTTTTTTTTTTCCTTCGTTTTAATTTAATTTTATTTTTTTTCCTTTTTAGTGTTTGGTTTTTAGCAGTCTCCTGCTAAAACCCAGGACGGACTCAGACTTGCTACAAAGTTGAGGCTGGCCTTGACTACTGAGCCTACTGTCACCACCTCCCAAGCACCGGGATTACAGCGTGAGTCACCATGCCATGCCATGTTGTTGTAGATGAGAGTTGACATCTCAGAAATCCTTCTAAGCCTCCCAAGTCACTGCGATTAAAGGTGTGAGCGTCCAAGCCTGGCAGTTTTCCCGTCAGACTCCTGTGTGAGTCCACAGAAAAAGCGCTAGCACAGCAGCCATGCCCTTGTGGTTCAAGAAGAGCCAGCCAAGTTGTTGCAGTGCTCAGTTTCCATCTTTTACGCTGCCAGTGCCCTCAGCTCTCCTGGGCACATCCTCAGTGCCAGCCTGCCCAGGCCTCTTCACACTGACCTGCTGCTATGGAGCCAAACCAGCTATTCTTGGGCCCTTGCCCAGGATGCATGAGGCCACCGAAGACACAGTGGCCTGGGGCTTCGCGCGCGCCAGTCAGAGAGCCAATGACAGCAGGACCAAAGCGCCGTCCCAATGAGCGAGCTGCCTGCCAATCAGGGGCGGAGCCAGCGAGGCCACAGCCAATAGGAGGAAGGGTGGTGCAGTGGCCTCGCCCTGGACCAGCGCTGTCGTTGAGCATCGGGAGGGCAGAGCGCGTGCCCGTTACATGACCAATAAGAACAGACCGATCGGCCAGCCGCCGTCAATGGTCGCACCAGCTCGAGGCCTGAACGTGCTTCCTCTACGGCTGGACCAGACCTTTCACAACCAGGGCGGGGCTAATGGGACTCTGCCAATAGCAAGAAGCTGCCGGGTCAGGCCAGGGATGCCGCCTGCGCTGCGGTCGCTCCCCGCAGAGAGAACCGCTGCCCTAGGTAAGCGGCCTGGACCAAGGGATGCAGCGCTCCCGTTAGTCAGAGAGCCAATCAGAGTGGACCAAGACAAGCCGACCGTGTCTCCCCTGCGATTGGACGACGCCCTTGCCAATCACAGCAAGAGCCAGTGAAATCTCGGCCCACAGCAAGAAGCGCCTGGTTCCGATTTGCGGTTCAGGGTCCACGAGGTGGTTGCCTATGGGGGTCGGCGCTTAGTGCTCCCCTCCCCTCAGCCAAACCCCTCCGTGCAGGCCGACGTCGCGCGCTTGTCAGCTGGAGAGCCAATCAGAGTGGGGTAGTCAAGCGCCTAAGGCCGGGCTGTTTCCTCTGCGATTGGGCGAGCCTCCTGACAATCAGGGCGGAGCCAGAGAGGGCTCGACCAATGGCAGGAGGCGGCTGGGTCAGACCAGCCACTAACTGCAGGCGCGGTGGTCGTTGCGGCTCTTGGGAGGGCAGCGCGCCACATCCTACCTGCGCGCAGGCCCTGGGCGTCTAGCGCCGGCCAGCGGCCCGTCGCGTCATGTCAGGCACTGCTTGACTCGAGTTCTTCGGGCCTCCTCCTACCCGCCTACCAGAAGCCGCGCCCACCGCCCAGAGCCAGAGGGATGGTGGTAGTCACCGGGCGGGAGCCAGACAGCCGTCACTCGGACGGTGCCATGTCCAGCTCCGAAGCCGAAGACGACTTCCTGGAGCCGGCCACTCCTACGGCCACGCAAGCGGGGCACGGGCTGCCCCTGCTGCCCCAGGAGGTACCTGGATCGAGTGATGGGGGAAGGGAGGACTGATAGGAAGCGAGGGAGAGACTGGTGCTTGCAGAGCTGACCTTGGGAGGTGAGCCACCCCTCATGCCACTCCCGCACTAGGCGTGTCCTCCCTGCCCGGGGTCACCTGCACCCCGTGTCCCTTCTTCCCGTACTCGGTAGCTGGTAACCAGGATGTTCGATTCCATTCCTGTATCCCATATCTCCCATTTATCAACTAGAGAACTCGGGAGTCCTCAACACACAGCCATGGTCCATACAATCCGAAAGAAGGCACTGGATTGCCCAGGTGTGTCCTCCAGCTGCCCGGGGAGTGGTATAAGAAACTGTGCAGAGAAACCCATATGGTACCTTGGTATGACTTAGGAAAAAAGACACACCTGCGTGGGACCGGCCCACTCTCATCCAGGTGCCATTATGCAGCGAACAATCTCCATTACCACATGGGGCAATTTCATTTGCCAAATGGACAGCCGTGAGTGGCAGAGGATTAGGGACAAATAAAACAACAGTATGAGCAAGGACATAAAGGAGATAAAATCGGGAAATAGAAGGCTACAGCTTCGAGCAGACGTGGTGGGAGGGATTCAGGTCTTCATTTATCTGGTGCGGCACTGTATGGTATGTTGTGGCCTTGTGCCCTCATGTGTACGACACTTTGCACCTGAAACCACCCTCGCTGTAGATAGACGGTGGAGACAGAAGTGGAGACAGAAGTGCAGAGTTGTCTGAAAGAGCTGCCGGGGTGAGGCTCTCTGGCAGCAGACAGTACTGTGTTAGGGTTAGAAGCCCCGGGATTGCCAGCATCGTGGGAAACTTGTGAAAAATAAGCAAAATTCTAGGCATAACTCTGCAGCCAGGGAAAAGAGCCAACACAGTGGTGCTATTTTTTTTTTTGGGGGGGGAGGGCAAAAGCTGTAGTTTGAGGGAAAGGGCATGTAACCCCATAGACTGCTGGCCATGTGTTCAGTCCCGGTTTCCTAGGAATCACATCAGTGTGTGAGCTCAGGAACACTTTTCAGTTTCTTTGTTTGTCGGTGCAAAGAAGTGGATTAGTAGGAACTACCTTTAAAAAAAGAACTCCAGAAGTGCAAAGCAGTATAGCAAAATGATGTTTGAGTCTCGACACGTGTAGAATGGGCTTCGTGTTTCTGTAGAAAAGGAGAAGGCATTTTGTACTGTGAGTGTAAGCTGAATTTGCTCAAGTGCATACTTCTGCCTGTGCTCAGCACTCCAGAGGCAGAGCGGGTGGATCTCTCTGAGTTGGAGGCCAACTTAGTTTACATACTGAGTTCCAGGTAAGCCAGAGCTACGCAGAGAGACCCTGTCTCAAAAACACAAAAACAAAAAACATCCGAGTTCATACTTAGGAAATATTGTAAATCTGAGTTCATACATAGAAAGAATTGTAAATTTTGTGTATTTCATTTACAACATTGGCAAAATAAGCATTCTGGGATCAAGTTTAAAAATTTTGGTTGATCTGGAGTTAGTTGGTGGGAAAGTTAGAACTGGAAACAGTTCTTTTCAAAAACACAGCAGTGAAAGATTTTTTTTTTTTTTTAATTCTTGAGCATTTCAGAAAGGGACCCTTGTGAGGTTCTCAAGCCTAACATTTACTCTTATTTTCCTGTCCTCACTTAGTCCTTGACACCAGAACCTTAGTTGGCTTGGCGACTAATCGGTCGGTCTAGATTGAGTGGGAGTGAATGGAGTGACGTAGATAATGAGGGTTGGGGTGCTGAGGGTGGAGCGCAGCAGTAAGCTGCATAGCATGTGCAATTGTCTGGGTTAGAAGAATGAGGACTGGATGCTGTGGTGCACTGGAAACCAGCCGTTGCTCTCATTGGCAAGCACACATGCTCTCTCTGCCTTTGCCAGGCTTGGCATCTAGTAGAATGGGTTGACAGAAGAAAATGCTTGCCCTTGTGTGTGCCAGGTGCTGTAACTGAGGAGATGTGGCAAGAGAGTGAAGGCACCATGGAAGGATATGATGTAGGTAATTTTGTCTTGGGGACATGTGAAGGATGACAGAGCAGTAGTAATGGTCACAGAATAGAAACTTACAGCCAGGTGCTGTGGCGCATGCCTATAATCCCAGCACTGGAGGCTGAGGCAGGGGGATATCTGAATTCCAGGTCAGCCTGGTCTACCAAGCAAGCCCCCCCCCAAAAAAAAATACAGAAACTTACAGAATGAACCAATGCTACAAACTCTGTGGAGCCTTGGTGTACATTAGGATAAAGACACACACACACACACACACACACACACACACACACACACACGTGGGTTTACAGGGGACCCTCATCCACATGCTTCTGCAGTGAACAACCTACACCACCATATTGGGCAATTCCATTTGCTAACTTGTCAAGAGGAGACTCCTACGAGTGGCCAAGAGAGCATGAAAAAGGACACAAAGATGATAAGTTCAGGAGGTAGAAAGAGGTGAAATTTGGCAGAGATTGTGGGGCTGGGGTGAAGAGAGAGCTTGTTTAAGAGCTCTTCAAATGAGTAGGACTTGGTGGCTGATACTCCAGGAAAGATGGGGGTCAGGAGAAGACAGCGTTTGGATGGCCCCTGAGTTTAGGATAACCAAGTGAATGAATGGTGCGACATTAATCAGACCTAGCAGATAGAGGAGTCCAGCTCCTGCTACCTCTGCTGGTCTGAAAGCTGTGCTGGTTCCTTCCAGTTTCCCGAGGTGGTTCCCCTTAACATTGGAGGGGCGCACTTCACCACCCGCCTGTCTACTCTGCGGCGCTATGAAGACACCATGCTGGCGGCCATGTTCAGCGGGCGCCATTACATCCCTACGGACTCCGAGGGCCGGTATTTCATCGACCGAGATGGCACACACTTTGGGTATGTGTGTCTCTTTCTCTACAGTCAGGTCCATAGTCACAGCAAGTGAGAAGCCTGGGATTCCGTCTTGGGCATTGGCATCCTCCGCGGTACCCAAGGAGGTGAAGACAGCAAGATCAAATTTCTTCCCTTCTCCCAGACAGGGTTTCTCTGGGTAGCCCAGGCTGTCTGGGAACTTTCTGTAGACCATGCAGGCCTTGAACTTTCAGAGATCCACCTGCCTTTGCCTCCTGAGTGCTGATGTTAAAGGTGTGTGTCACCAACCACCCAACAAGAGAAAGTCAAATACTGACAGGATTTGAGGAAGCTTTTCCCAGCCTGTGCAGTTTGACTTGAGTCGTTATGTATACGGAAAGGAATGCACTTGGAGTCAGAGACTGTCGTTTTTACTTTTAGATTCTAGGACTCAATGACAGCATTCAGGTTGGGCACGGTGGTGCTCTTGAGAGGTGGGCACAGGCGAGAGGCAAGGGTTTCTAGGTCAGCTTTGGGCTACATAGCAAGATCCTATCTCAACACTCACAACACATAACAAAACCTACTGCAGCATGGCGGAGGTGTGCCTGTAACAGAGTTCTCACAGATGGTGACGGAATGGCTCAGGCTGGATTGCCACTCCTTCATTTTGCCAAGAAAACCTTAAAAAAAGAAACTTGTAGTTCAGTGGTGAAGGCACATGCCTTTAATCCCAGCGTTGGGAGGCAGAAGGAGGCAGATCTTTTGAGATCAAGGTGAGCCTTGTCTACAGAGTGAGTTCTAGGACAGACAGCCAGACAGGGCTACCCTGTCTCAAAAAACAAAAACTAAGCTAAAGACCAAACTTGTATTGTTACTGGGATTTTATATGTATATCCTTAAAAAATATATGTGATTATTAACTTTCCCATGAAGATGCTTCTGGCAAACCTTATAAAGACTTCATGTCTCAATTTCACTGTGGGTTCTTTAAGATTGATCTTTGCTTATGTGTGCATCTCACTTGTGTGTGAGTACCTCCAGAGGCTGGAAGGGGTTGTTGGTGCCCCTAGAGCTGGAGTTACAAGAGTTGTGAGTTGCCAATGTAGGTGCTGACAACTGAACTTGGGTCCTTTGCAAGCACAGCAAGTGTTCTCATCCACTGAGCCATCCCTCTAGCCCTCAATGTGCTGGGTTGATATGAGGACTGATTGTAGCTCTCTGGTGGGCTTGTCAGTGAGGGTTAAGTAACGAGTCTTCTGTCACCTGGGTAGGTCACATCTTCAAAACACATGGCTGGAATCCTCTGCTCCTTTGGTCTAACTTAGAAGATGACTAGAGGGTTGGTATAGTCTTTGACCTTGAACCAGTGACCAGGACGGCAGAGTCTTCAGTTGATGCACAAGTCTTTGTGTTGACCTCTGAGTAAGAGTGCCCACAAGGGTCATTTTTTTGTCCTTAAGGAGGAACCTCTGGGCAAATAACTTGTTTTGCAGTATCTTCTTTTCCCCAGTGGGCTATCAGCTGCCTCTGATGGTGAGAAAACAAAGTGTCACATCCCTCTGTGTAACTATAAAAAGATTTTTTGTTTGCAGGCCATTTGGGGAGGAAAGTGCTGGCCCCAGCTGGCGGCTCCCATAGCGCTCCTAGCTGGGCCTTGCCCAGGGTTTTGTTTGTCAGAGCTCATAAGGGTTTATTGATGATCGCAGAGGGCTGAATTTGAAGAGGTGGGAGAGGCTGGAGTGGTTAACAGTGCCCTGTTCTTGCAGAGGGCCTGGGCTCAGGTCCCAGCACCCGTGACAGGTGGGATCCAACCCCTCTGGCCTCCACAGTGTGCCTGCACTCCTGTGAACACACCCACACAACCACACACCCCAAACATGACGAAAAATGATAAAGCAAAAATCTTTAGAAGGGTTGTGGGAGGGAGAACAGGATCCAAGTCAAAGCTTAGATGTGGGTGCTATTGGCCTGGGCTGGAAAGTGGCAGAAACTGTTGCAGAAGGCAACGTATAGCGGCATTCCCGCTCGGAATAGTCTGTGTTTTTTCTCAGAGCTCTAAAGTACGCGTTTGGGGTATTTGGAAAGTACACACATTTCCTGCTGTTGTAGCTCGTGCAGCCCAGCTGCCTTCCTGGGGCTGCTTGGGCCTCGGATGGAGGGTTCTTCCGTGTGCATGCGGCACACTGCCTTGATCGCTTCTAATGAAGTCAGGACCACTGTGGTGGTGGGCTCAGAATCGGTTGTGGCTCCTTCAACAGGGGCTTTCCAAAACCTCCTAGGCCCCACTTGGACCTCATTTATAGACTGGAGTTAAGAGAAAATGCCAGTAAAAGGACCAAATGGGTGGCACATGATTAGAGGCTAACAGAGATCAGTACTTGGTGTTAGCCATTGTTGCATTATTTATTAATTATTGATGGAAAAATTGATCCTCTTCCCAGAACTCCTCTCGATAGGCCTGATTATTACTCTCGGCACTAAAGAGTGTGAAGAGGATCAGAAGGATGGAATATATACTTTAAGAGACTTTATATGCCTTTACTTAGTTGTGAAACCAGTTAGTCCCTACATTGTTTGGTATTTTGACACCTTGGCTGAGAAAAACCACTGTGTGTGTATTTTAAATTGGTTTGAGTTTTTGTTGTTGCGTATTTGTTTTGCTTTGGGTTTTTGCTTTTGTTTTTTGTTTGAGACAGGATCTCACAATGTAGTCCTGGCTGGTTTGGAACATTCCGTATGGCCTTGACTTCACAGCTCCACCTGCCTTTGCCTCTCACATATGTCACCGCACCCAGCTTAATTCCCTTTTAATGCCAAGAGGTAATTTTATTTTTAATTTTCTTTGTTTGTGCTCGAGGCCACTGGGGCACACAAAGGTCAAGTTCACTTAGCCCAAGTTACACAGCTGTCAGTGTGGCCCAGTTTCTGTGCTCTAACCACTTGATAGCCCTCCTCCATCCCACCCCAAGTCCTTAGCTCTTTCCCACCCTTTCTCTTCTCTGCACAGAGATGTGCTGAACTTCCTGCGTTCGGGGGACCTGCCGCCCCGGGAGCGTGTGCGAGCTGTGCACAAAGAGGCGCAGTACTATGCCATTGGGCCCCTGTTGGAGCAGCTGGAGAACATGCAGCCACTGAAGGGCGAGAAGGTGCGCCAGGCCTTTCTGGGGCTCATGCCCTATTACAAAGGTGAGGGGTCAGCTGCCTGGCACAGTTGGGGAAAGGGGTGGCAAGGCATCATTTAGCTCCTGGGCCTTTCCTGGAAGTGGGTGGGTCCAACTCAGGAGGAAATGTTCTCTCTCAGGGACTGGGACTTTTCAAGTTGAGAAGGATACCTACCATATTTCCCTGCCCTCATCCTCTGGAGTTTCTTGCTTTGGAAAACCATGCCCTTCCTGAGTCCCTGGAGTCCCCTCATGAAATCATCCTCTTCCCCTCTGCATCCCGCTACTGTCCGTCTCTCTGTCAGTGTGTATCCCTCCTTCCCCTCCTATTTCACCTCTGCCCATTGTGTTAAACTCTGTAGACCATTTGGAGCGGATCGTGGAGATTGCCCGGCTGCGCGCAGTACAGCGGAAGGCCCGCTTTGCCAAGCTCAAAGTCTGCGTCTTCAAGGAAGAGATGCCCATCACCCCCTATGAGTGTCCACTCCTCAACTCCCTACGCTTTGAGCGGAGTGAGAGTGACGGACAGCTCTTTGAGCACCACTGCGAAGTGGACGTGTCTTTTGGGCCCTGGGAGGCGGTGGCTGATGTGTATGACCTCTTGCACTGTCTGGTTACGGACCTCTCAGCCCAGGGCCTCACCGTGGACCATCAGTGCATCGGGGTGTGCGACAAGCACCTTGTCAACCACTACTACTGCAAGCGCCCCATCTATGAGTTCAAAATCACGTGGTGGTGAGTCGTCCTGGTGGGCAAGAGCCCCGTGAAGGAGGGTGCCTCCTCTTGGGTGGCTCTGGGAGTCTGGTCTGCTGACTGTCGCAGAAGCCGCTGAGGTGAGGACAGAGTGCTGAGGCAGATAGATGCAAAGGCGCAGGTGTGCCCCCAGGCTCCCCGGCTCGTGTAACTGGGGACTCGGTCTGCCTCACTTGGTCTTTTCCTCAAGGCATGGCCGTCTTCACTGGCAGCTGGCCACAGCATCTAGTGAGGACAGCACTGAGAGTCCGGAGAGCTGTGACACTGACTTGGCACCTTGCAGGAGAGCTTCTGCCCATTTTAGGGCCATGTTACTGACGGAAGTGTCATCACTTCCTGTCCCTGTTAGAACAGTCCTGCGCTCAGTGTGTCAGTTGGAATAAGGAGTGCGTGTCATAGGGGATTGACCCAAGTATCCACCCTGCAGCCCTGGCCAAAGAAGAAAGGGTGTGTTTCCTCCCAGTGCTCTCCTTGCGCCACCACTGACTGCAGCACCTTGTCTTAGGGTATGGAAAGAGATGCCCTGTGCTCCCAGAACATGCCTGTCACCTTCTCTTGGAGATTGACCATAGCTGCCAAAGCCACGTACCAGTTGGGCCTTAGAAAAACCACAATGTTTACAGCCCCACCCCAGGGCTTTGGCTTCTTCCTTCTTTGCAGTTATCCCTTCCCAGGGCTGGCATGTTACGTTCCAAAGGTTCTTTCTGAAGATTCCCCATGTCAGGCAGACAAGGAGCCCGGATCCCCTCGACTTGTAGCACAACTCTCAGAGGTCAAGAACAGGCCTTGTGTTAGCATCCAATGGGGTGAGCCTCTTTGGAAGGCATGCCCTCTTTCTTTGATAGTTTTTGCTGGGGGGAAGAGGGAGTGCCAGGTGGGAGGCACAGCCATCCCAGGAGCTGAGGCCGAGGAAAGTAAATTTCTGTGTTCTACTTCCTGTTTCAGAAAGAGAGAGAAAAAGCCCACAAAAATACTTGCTCTGCAGTCAGGGGTAACTATGTCAGGGTGCAACACCGAACCCCTAAAGAGAGAGCTGTGTAGCACCCCTCTGAGAGCACCACATGTCCAGGCCACACAGTGGCTTCTAAACAATGGCCATGGGTGCATCTGACCATTCTTGGATCGTTTTCTTTTTAGTTAAGCTTTTTTTTCCTTTTTTTTTTTTTAATATAAGGGATTAAGGGCAGCACCACCATAGGATCAGGGCTGGGGTGTCTGCCCACTTCTTCGGACTAGAAGGCCAAGCCTCAGGACCTGAGCTAAATTCTTCTGTGGGACCTGAGCAAAATTTCTCCATTGGGTGGGTTGGGGCAGGTACTTTCCAGGGCTCTTGAGGTTTTGAACTTGTATTTCACTCTGAGTGTAGCAGAGTCTGATCCAAGAGGGAGAGAGTGTCAGTTGCCCTGCAGGACAGCTGCTCTCTCTATTCTCATTAACAAACAGTGGAATCTTCTGGGGTGCCTATGCCCCTGTTTGGCGCTCAGCCCACCACCATCCTCCTTCTGGCCATGTTCTAGCAAAGACGTTCCTTATTTAAATCGGTTTTATTTTTGTTTTCTCGATAGGGTCTCATGAAGCCTCACATTAGCTGTATAGCTAAGGATGACCTTATACTCTTGACCTTCCTGCTTCTACCTCTGAAGCGCTGGGGGATGCGGGCACATCCCACCTCACCTAGCTCTTGTGTTCATTTTTTCCATAGCTAGTGAAGCACACTATTCAGTGTGATGTCCATATGCGTACAGAGCAGACAATTAAGCCCGGGCCTTTTAGTAATTGCACCTGGGGCCCTTTTCTTCTTGTTCTAGAATATTGCAGTGCTTGGAAAATTATATAAAACAAAAAACTGATCTGGCCAAAAGCAAGGCCTCGACTACTTGCCTAAGGTTACAAGGTTACTGTCTTTGTGGCTTGCTGGAGACTCTGTTTTTCTGTCCCCCTTTTTATTCTCAGGATGATATGTTTTATGCAGTTGTGTCCACTGGGGCAGGCAGAGGAAGAACGCTAGATAGCCAGCTCAGAACTCTCTTCCCTCTTCTTTCAATCGCTTTTTTCATAGCTGACTCGATATGTGTGGTATTTGGACAGACGATGTACTGAATCTTCTTATGTGTGGCTTTTTTTTTTTTTAATAACAAAAACCTATGCATTTTGAAGCCAGTGAATTCTATACTTTCTTGCAGCACAGAAACTTTTCTTTGTATTACAAAGTATATTTATTATAATTTGAATTCTTCCTTGACTAGTGAAATAGAAATGTGTTTAAAGAAATATATATTGGCATCTGGGATGTGGTTCCATGAGGGAATATCTACCTATTATGCACAAGGCCCTGGGTTCCCCCCCACACACACACACACAAAGGATTATTTCAAAGTGTTCCTTTGCTATTTGGGCCTCCACACTCACTCACTCACCTTCTCTACTCTCTTGAAGATTTTCTTACACAGTAAGGATTCATCAGCCTGGTTTGGCTCTCTCTAATGAGAAGCCGAGGCCAGGCTGAAATGCACGTTGAATGTGATGGCTGGGGATGGCTTCCAAATAAAAAGGTCATATCTGTGGACATTACCTCAGCCCATCTGATCCCTTTCCAGTTGCAATTGCCCAGGCACAGACCAAGAGACTTGTAAGAAAAAGCTTCTTGAGCCACAGAAATAATCGTCTCAAAATTTGTGTGTTCTGTCAATCAAAGCCTCTCATCTGGTTTGAGTCAGACCAGTCAGTCATTGCTGAATCAGACTGAGTGCTGACCCTGGGCGTTCCCTCCTGGTTTACTTTGGGCATCTTCTCTCAGTGCTCACTGGTTGGGAAGATGAAAGATTTGAGAGCAGCACAACAAGAAAGCAAAACAAGAAACATGAAAAGAACCCTGAGTAGCAACAGGGAAGGCAGGGAGAGCCACACTGAAACACAGCGCATCCCAGGGTTGGGAATTCATTGTCACTGATCTCAGAGGAAACATTGCCAACCGTGACTTAGCTCTGTTTTCCCCTGGCTGCTGTACTTCCAGGGCTCATAGCCAAACACCCTGGAACTTCCTATTCTTTTCTCTTGGGCTTAGGCCCTTTGGGAACTAACTGCCTGAACACCATGTCCCAGGCTGATCAAGTTCTGAGTTGCTGCACGGAAGGCTAACAGAACCCTGTAAGACAGAGCAAGCTGGCTTGTGGAGTGATACTTATCTGTGACCCTAGACCGAGATGAGGCCTAAGATAAACACCACCAGCTGGGTGGTGGTGGTGCACACCTTTGATCCCAAGACTCAAGAGGCAGATGCAGGCATTTCTCTGTGACGGAGTCTACAGCCTGGTCTCCAGAGTGGGTTGCAGGACAGGCAGGTCCATGCAGGGAAACCCTGTTTGTGGGGAGGGGGGACAAGATAAACGCCACCAACAAGATGCTTTTCCTAGGAAGAATGTCAGCTGTCCTCCTGCATATTTTTAACCATATCTGATGAGAAATAGTTCAGCTCGCTGTGGTGCTTTTTGTGTGGTGCTTGCCTGGAGGGATGCCCATCCCATGATTCTTAAAGGATCACTTCCTTGTCTGAAGGTAGGATGTTGGGAGCTGGGATGGCTGAGCGAGAAAGGGAGAAAGGTTTTATGTTGTCCTTAATTTGGGGGGAAGGTGCATATGTGTCGTATTGTGGCAACAGAGTGGGTGTGGGAGGCCAACTGAGCCCGTTGTCTGCATCTGCGTAACTTTGGCTTAATGTAACATTTCCTGTGTTCAACATCAAGCCTATTTGTGAGTAATCTTGTGCAGAGGGCCTCATTTCATCAGACATTAAAATCAAGAACTAGAACCTGGGTGATGGCTTTTCTTTACCGACGTCCTCCCTCCGATGCCTGCAAATGTGTCTTGATCACTGTTTTAGATCTGGTGTCTGGGGGTGCCACAATAAAATAACAAATCTAGCTTTTCCTGGAGACCAGCACTGGACTTCTGGGCCCGAGGAGAAGTGGCCCTGAGAAGGTCCTTAGGGAAGCTCAGGAGTGTATCTACCCCAGGAAAGCACTGCTCGGCCATTTGCTGAAAGTGCCCTGGGGGAAGTCTCTGAGAGAAATTCCTCTGTCCTATAACCACTTCTTTTTCAAGGGAGGAATAGTGCCCCAAGCAGGTGCGAGCCTTAGTGTTTAAGGCCAAGGCCCCTGTGGATGCAATTTGCCATCCTGCCCCTCCCCACCCAAAGCAGAGTGTGACACTTCCCTGGCAAAATTCAAGGCGCTCCTTGGCGTCACTCATCACTCAGTGGATTGACCGCACAGGTAAGTTCTGATGTCCCCCGTGCTGCACAGCCATCTAGTGCGGTGGTTCTCAACCTGTGGGTCTCGACCTTCCCAGAGGGTCAAATATCAGATAGTTACATTATGACTCATAACAGTAGTTAAATTACAGTTATGAATAGCAACAGTTTTTTGGCATACTTTTTAAAAACTTTTATTTACATTTCTTATATCTTTTTCTCCCTGTTCGACCCCAATCCCTTCCAACACCCAACACCAGGTGGGAGAAAGGGTCAATGGGAGAGGGGGTGCAGTTCTCTTAGCTGTTTCCTGCTGGTTAGGGTCGTTGGGTTCCTTGGAGCCAGTCCAATCCTCATGTCACGAGATCTCCAACTTCTGGTCTCACTGCATTTGCAGCAACTGGAAGCCAAAGGAGGAAGCAGCAGCAGCTTTGTTCTTTCTCAGAGCTCTTCCACACTCTCTGGGCTCTGGAGTTTACTCTCCAGAGTGTTCAGATTTAAACTATCTGCAGCTGGCAAAGAGCTCCTCTCAGAGCCTGCATGAGACAAGTCGTTTGCTGCTGTGGACTATCTGACTCAGTCCCACATCCCACACCTGGGATTAAAACAAAACCATGTTTATATCCACAACACATTTTCTAGTTGGGGTCACCACATGAGGAGCTATGTTAAAGGCTGGCAGCGTTAGGGAGGCTGAGAACCACTGGGATCCCTTAAATCTATGATTTATGTGACTTAACAAAAGCTGTGCTCACCCTTGCTGAGTGCGCTCCCTGGCCTACTGATGATAGTAAGGCCTTTCTGGTAGGAACTGAGCTTCTAGAGACAATGCCTTGCAGGTCACCCCAAAGAGTGGAGCCGGAGCCAGGGGAAGGTGGGAGCGGAGGCTGCCGCACTCTTGCCTCGCTCGTGAAAGCTTGGAAGGCATACACTGTAGGAAGATGCTGGGCTGCTTCTACAGGCACACGCTCCCAGCTACGTGGGAAGCTCGGCTGGAAGGACTGTTGATCCTAGGAGTTTGGGTGTAGCTTGGGACAACATAGACAGAAGACTTTTGCTTTTTTAGCGTAAAAAATGGGGTTTACTACATAATAATTTGAGGCATATTCAAAGGTGAGAGAAGAAAGTGACCAAAGGGGCCACTGTAGAAAACAGAATGGCTAGAGTGGTCTTCTGTCAGTCTGTCAGGTTTTCTCTCTCTCTCTCTCTCTCTTTTTGAGATTGGTCCTCACTTTGTAGACTGGCTGGCCTCAAACTCACAGAGATCCACCTGCCTCTGCCTTCCAAGTGTTGGGATTGATGGTACATGCATTATGCTTAGAAACCTGGGTTTTCTGGAAGAGCAGCCTATACTGTTAACCACTGAGGGATTTTTCTTTTTGAGACAGTCTCACTGTGTAGCTGTGGTTGTCCTTGAACTTGTGGTCCTGCCTCTACTGGGAAAGTTAGGGATAGTTAGGGAAAGTTAGGGATACATGCCTGGCTGTTTCTTTTCTTTGGCGCTTGTGTGTGTGCTTGGTTTCTATTGTTGCTGTATTTTTGTTTGTTTTCAGTGTTGGGGATTTTGAACCTAAGTCCCTGCATATGCCAGCGAGCCCTCTAATGCCAAGCTATATCTTTAGGCTAAAATCCTTTTTAATTTTTTTTTTTTTTTTTTTTTTTTTTTGTTTCTGAGACAGAGTTTCTCTCTGTAGCCCTGACTGTCCTGGATCTTGCTCTGTAGACCAGGCTATCCTCAAACACAGAGATCCGACTGCCTTTGACCCCTGAGTGCTGGGATTAAAGGCGCCACCTCCAGTGCCTGACAGAAACCCTGACCCTTAATTGAAAGGAAACCTAAAGCTCTGCTTGTAAAAGGGCCCCTCAATTTATAGCCTTTTTTGTTGTTTTATTTTTTTTTTCTTTCTCTTTTGAAACAGGCTCTCATGTAGCCCAACCTGTCCTTCATCTTGAAGCTCGATCAGCCTCCTGGGTTCTGGGATCACTTGTGGATTCCGCCTTGATGGTAATTTTTTGTCCTTGTTACTGAGAGATACACGTCTGTGAGGAGGGGGAAGGTCTTGCTCCTGTGACAGTGAGTGTGGGGTGACCTCCCTGACGAGTGATGGCTTACTGGATGGGACCTAGGTCCGGAAGATCCTGAGCTAGCGGAACTGCAATCCTCTAGCGCTAACTGCACACACACACTGGACATTACACCTCGCGAGGGGTTGTGTCCAGGATGTGGCCTCTCCCAGAGACTGCTGAGGTTAGAAAAGCTGAGCTGTTCCCTCACTTTCTCCAGGTCTGGCTTGGGGCCCATGGCCCTTAGACTTGGGATTTCTACCCTCCTGTGTGCTCTTTTTGCTTTGTCTTTCTGGTTTTGTGAGACAGGGTCTCTGTGTAGCCCTGGCTGTCCTGGAAGTCACTCTGTAAATCAGGCTGGCCTCAAGATTACAGATCCACCTGCCTCTGCCTCCCAAGTACTGGGATTAAAGGTGTGAACCGTCACCGCAGCCTCCGGTGTCTTACCAACTGGGTTGTCCCACCAGTTCATTGTTTGGGCTGGTGTGTTCACAGCATGATCCCTTAACTTCTAACTCTGTGTCCTTTGTTTTTCTTTTCACACTCTTTAGCTTTATCTCTCTCCCAACCTCCCTTGTTTTCCTTCTTCATCCCTATCTCCCCTCTCTATGTTTTTTTTTTTTTTTTTGCTTAATTGTTGTTGTTTTGAGACTGGATCTTACTGGGTAGCCCAAGATAGCCTCAAACAATCCTCCTGCCTCTGCCTCAGAAGTGCTGGGATAAGAGACACGCACTATCATCTGCTCACCTAACCTCTAAATGGAGCCCAGGTGTGACGCTAGTGAATGTAGTTGTTGCCCTGAGCACTGCTTCTCTGATCGCCTCTGGAGCGTCCTTAGTAGCTGTGAACTTCATTTCTTCCGTAGCTGAATATGAATACCTTCGTCTGAAGTCTGGAAAGCTGACAGTGTTACCATGGAGTTCATATGTTGGATATAGTGGCCAGGCGCAGTGTCACACACCTGGAATCCCAGCACTCAGGGAGGCGGAGGCAGGTGGATCTCCGTGAGTTCAAGGACAGCCTGGTGGACAAATCGAGTCTAGGACAGCCAAGGCTACACAGAGAAACCCTGTCTTAAAAAAAGGAAAAGAATTCATATATCAGGGTTACCTAAGTCCCATAGCCAGAACTGTATCTCTTCTTCCAAAATTCTCGCAGTCCTCAACACAAAATAACAGCATGAAAGGCCTTTGGATCAGGGCAGCTTAACTACTGAACTCCAAGGATTTCTCCGGAACACAGTTGTTCCGAAAAACATCCAGAGATCCTGGGGTCCACCTGCATTGACCTTCTGTTATGCAGAAACTACCTGGGCTGGAGAGCTAGCCAGTCTGTAGTCGGCTCTTCCAGAGGACCTGAGTTTGGTTCCAAGCACATAGGTTAGGCAGGTCATAACCACCTGTGACTCTAGCTCCAGGGGATCTCATTTCTTATACTGGCCTCCGTGGGCCCCCGCATTCACATACACATACCCACACTCAAATAAATAAATGAATAAAAGACATAGGTACCAGAGATAGCGAACATGGCGAACAGGTTGATTCTGAGCCTGTGATGGAACAAAGCCATTCACCACATGGTTGAGAATGAGGAGACAAGAGAGCACGCCATGCCAACGATCTAAAACAGTGGTTCTCATCCTGCGGATCATGACCCTCCACAGGGGTCACCTGAGATCCCCGGAAAACACAGAGATTTTATATCACCATAACATTTACTATGTAACAGTAGCAAAATTACAGTTATGAAGTAGCAACAGAAATAATTTCATGGTTGGGGTCACCACAACATAAGAAGCTGTATTAAAGGGTCACAGCGTTAGGAGAGTTGAGAACTGTGGGGAGACAGTTGCCAGAGCCCAGCCGTCTTGAAAGCAACTCTTCCATTTTGCTCCCCCATTTTGTTAGCAGGGTCAAGCTGGGTTCATGTTCCCAGGCTCGGGGACCTACCCTGCCCCTCCAAGTATTTTCCTATTTGTCTGTTAAACCAGTGAAGAACGTAGAACTTGCTGTTATCTCAACCAAGTTGCTTAAACTGTGACTATCGATTGCCTGCCAAGCTGTCATCAGCTGTGAGCAGCTGGCTGCTCCTTTATTCAGTTATCACCTTGAGCTCCAGACAGGAGATCTAGGAGGATGTGTGAAGGGCCTTGAGGCCAGGTGCCCTGGATAAGGCCCAGCCTCCAACAGATACTCCCTTGCTTAACCCTCAGTGTCAAAGTACAACTGGATGGCCTCACTGCTCACCCAAGGCCCCCTTATTTTGTGAATCACCCTTTAACTATGCAAGATGGCTTGCCCCCTGGGATGTGGTTCAGATCCTGAGTTGACCGACTGTCTCCCTGAGCACTTAAAAAAAAGAAAAGTTCTCATTTATTAAGCTTCCATCTCTGAAGTGAGTTTTCTCAGCTTCCTCCCCAAACCCAACAAGAACCATTGATCTAAACGCTCCTGATAGGCTTCACATTATGACTCATCCTCCCAGAGAGCATGGC